GACTCAGCCATGCTGAAATTGGCTTGGTAGAACTTCATATCATGGAACGTTGCAAGAGTCAGCGCTGTATAAAACATGCCGGAGCTCTCATCACCGTACGTACTCATCAGCTCATCCTTTGCTATACGGCGATTCCAGTGCGAGGATGGGACCGTGTTGGATTCCATGTCCAAACGCATACCACTTATGCTCTTCTCGCATGCGTAGTGTTTCCTCACCACCTCAATTGTATTGGGAGATTTCACAAAATATACAAACCTATCTGAATTGTTGTTAATCGTTGCGGAGTATATCATCCCAATTCTTTCCATTCGTCGGGTATCAAATCCGAGTGCATGTGCAATGTCGTGTGCGGCCATGCGAACCAAACGCCTCGTCTCGCCAATCTCACTCGGGAGGAAGTTCTTCACAGCGGAAGTCGGGCCACGCCCATAACCGTAAGCGCAAATTTTCACAGACTCATTGCTCTTCTTGTTAGTGGTCACATAAAGCACAAAATCTGCCCCAGGGACACCTGTACTGTGGTGCCCTTCAGGCGGTTTGAAGAACGAGCAAGGTGCACCATCCTCAAACAATGTTTTATGAAAAACCAGATTTTCCTGCAGAGGATGCACTGAGAGACGCTCACTGTGCAGCTTGATGGCGGCAGGGAGGAGCTTCTCCACAAGGATCTTCTTCATATCTGCTGTAATAAGGGTCTCCTTACTGCAATGCTCAGTTGCATCCGGATACACGAGTTCAACATGACCAGGCATAAATGTATCCCCGCGAAATGTTTTCTCTCTGGCCTGTGCCGCCCTGTCCTTGCACTTCTCCACTGCGGCATCCACAGCCTCTGCAGAGACGTGGATGCGGATTGGCTGCCAGTCCTTACCCTCCTTTGTGGCGATGGTGTACTTCTCTTCCAACTTCTGATCCTTGGTAGGCAGCTCTCGCACAACAGAAGCTGGTGATGAGATTTCATCATCCCCATCACTGCCCCCTTCACCTTGCTGTGCGCTTCCGACACTC